AAATAGAGATCAAAGCAGGGCTGAGATCCTTACAGCTGGAGCTCAAACAAACAGTTGAGAGTTACCAAGCCAGAGTGCATGCCATCCAACAGACCACTGGGGAAAATCAAATTACTAATTATTAGCCAAAGACTTTATCTGTTTGGAGCAGTAGCCTTTGAAGTGCTTGGTGGTATGCCAATTGGATTACACTGAGCATGTGCAGACAGAGGAGTTAACAGGATTGTTAGTCTTCAGTGTTCCACACCAGCTGGATGGGCTCAACAGACTAAGCAGTATCTTTTAACCTTATACACCCAACCAGTGTTAGTTTGAGTCCTACTATGGGAAGAAATCTGGAAAAGATCAGAAGGCATATTGCTAAAATCTGGTGGGGTTTTTTGTGTTTTTTGTTTTTAATTTTGGGGGAATGCAATCAAAGTATTCTTGTGAAAAACATTAGACATGCAAATGTTTGCTGGCAGGGGCAGGACATTTTAGAGGGGGAAGGAAGGAAGGAAAATGGGCAGAGGGGTTTGAGGATGCAGCAACGGATTGAGGGAAGGGACTAAATGGGGATGGATGATCGGGGAGGTGACGCATATGTGGAAGAGGGACTGGTGGAGAATAGGGCAGGTCACTTGTCTGCCCCACATTCTCCCCATGTGTGCATGCCCGAGGATCTAAAATGTCTGAGCCTCTCCCCCTACTTGTGTGCATGCACCAGGATCTGGGGAGGTCTAAGCCTCTCTTCTCTACCCCCTTCATGAGCTGTGGGGGAACTTGCCTTCCTGGGCAGGTCTAAGCCCCACTCCCTACTGCCCCCTCCCCCCACGGAGCTGGGATCCTGGATCTCTTGTATTTCTAAGGGGGTCTGAACCCCTCTGTACACCCCACCACGTGAGACAGGATCTGGGAAACCCCTGCCTCTCTGGGTGGGGAACTTAGAACAAGAATGCTCAGAGAAAGCATCAAGAACACACTGTTGATACTGGGATGCGGAGTAGAGAAAAGACATGCGTGATGCATACACACTAACAGCACTGGGTGGGTGGGGGGAGAACCCCCACTAAAAGGAATGGAGCAGTTCACATATCACAAGCTATTGTTTCAGGCTGTATTCATCTCCTTTCATGGGTGGTGGGTGAAACCGTGGCTTGGGGAGGCTAGCCGCCAACCCCACCCCTTCCGCCCAAGGCCCCGCTCTTTCCACGCCCACCAGAGCCCAGCGCCACCAGCCCACCTAACACACACTGTGGCTGCTGGCCCCTGCCCCAGGCTAGTGCCCCCAGTCCTCTCCAGCCCAGCCCCCACTGTGGCTGCTGCCCAACACCCCCGACACACACACTGTGGCTGCTGGCCCCTGCCCCAGGCTAGTGCCCCCAGAGCGCTAGAGATCCAGGCAGCGCGGTCCCAGCCCCAGAGCGCCAGAAAGACTGACAGCACAGCCCCAACCCCACGGATCCAGAGTGCCAGAGAGCTGGGAAACGCGGTCCCAGCTCCTGATCACCAGAGAGCCAGGCAGCACGGTCCCGCCCTCCCCGGGCCGCACCCAACCCCCGGCCATCTGTCCCCTCCCCGGCCAACCTGCCAGCCTCAGCGCTGGGCGGCCGGGCAAGCAGCGGGCCGGAGCCACTCCGGTCACAAGCACTGAGTAGGCAGCATGGCCAGAGCAGTCCCAGAGGCCCCCAGCCTGCCTGCCCCAAGGAACAGGAGGCAGGAAGGGGCCTAGGGGTGGAGCTTGGGTGGGGGGACATCAGGCTGTTTGGGAAGGCAAAACCTTCCCATGCCTACGATACTCGCCAGCTATGTCTCCTTTGGATGTTCTCTTTCAGCTGAGAACATCTCATTGAGATGAATGGTTAACTTAAAAGCTCTCTGAGTCTGCTATAGGCTGCTGATGTGTTCTGAATGTAAACTAATGGCTTAATGGGACAGGAAGAGGAGGATGAATTGGAAGTGTTGACGGGTGGGGAAGAGGTACATGTTGCAGGGAATGGAGGGGAGAGACACCAATCTTCTCTCACAAGCTTAACGTTACTAAAACCACTAGGTTATAAAACTGTCAAGATTTTGGGGGGACAGACCATGGATAAGATTTCTCTCACTGACCCTGTTAGCAACGATACATTGCAAAAATTTCAAAGCATGATGTTTCTCGATAACAAAATGCATAGGAGGGGTGAGGCGCACTTAGGAATCATATAGCAACTGTGCAGCCTGGTGGAAAGGCCACTGGACTGGGACTATTACTAGCTCTGCCACTGGCCTGCTGGGTGACCTCTGGTAAGTCACCACACCTCTGTGCCGCAGTTTCCCACCTGTAAAATGGGGATAATGATGTGAAGTTCTTTGAGATCTGATGAAAAACACTACATAAAACTTAGGTATTTTTATTACCACCTAGCTACAGGAGCATATTAACTGCAAACTCTGGTGAGAACTATAATTGCCTAAATGGTCACTAACTCCTACTAACAAACATTTTATTTAATTTTCTAGTTTTTTAAACTGAAATGGCAAAGAAGTCTGGTAACACAGAGTTAAGGTTGCCTGGTGAGCTTATACCCTTCCAGAACACTGAGTTCAGCAAAACTCAAACTTCTGAAAACTAAAAAATACAGAGTTAAGATAAATGCTCGTGCAACCTTAACTAGGCGCCCAATGAGCAATGCTCCAATACACCCATTACACATTCTCAAACTCTGCCTTCTCACTACATTACCTGCACCTCCCCTACACTCAAACACTGTGCCTACTCCATTGATAGAATACCATACTTGTAAACTTTAACAAGCACTTCATATCCTTTTAAAGCTCCTTCTCACTTCCACATAGGATACTACCGAAAAGTGTATTTTTCCCTACCCATCATTAAATCCACAGACCTCTTTCACATCCCATCTCACAAGTACCCATGATAAGACCACTGCAGTGCCTGCTATGACACAGCCTACACAATTTTGTACTGAAAGGATACAAACTAGAACCCCAAGATATGTATGCACCTCCTTCCTTTGATCACACTCGTGGGGGGATTCAGACCCAGATCTCTTCATATCACAATCACAGCACTTTGACACACTTCAAATTAATTCCCTGATAGCCTCATATCAAAACAGATTTCTAACAACCTACCACACCTATTGCCCTCACCACTCAGTACAGCTACATCTAAAACAAAGCGACTAGAGAGCATGCAATAATTTCTGTTTGCTACTGCCAGCTCCAAGGGCAGAGTTAAAGCTGCGTGAACATCTACCTTAACTCTGTATTTCCTGGTTTTCCCTGAGTTTTGCTGAACTCAATGTTCTGGAAGGGCACAAGTTATTGACATGCAACCTTAACTCTGTGCTGGAGCTGAACTCTAGTACCCTGTGAGGTCGGAGGGTCCCACAGCTCAGGCTCCAGCCTGAGCCTAAAAGTCTACAGAGCAGTGAAACACCCCCACAGCCTGAGTCAGTGGGCACAGGCCAGATGCTGATTTTTCTCTGCTGTGTAGACATACCCTTAGTGGATCACTGCAGTAAGTTTCTGGACACATACATTGATTTACCAACTCTGTGGTTTTCAAGAATGGATGAGATACTCTTCTGACCCACATGGCGTCAAGTATCAGGGGACAGCTGTGTTAATCTGTATCTACAAAAACAACAAGGAGTTTGGTGGCACCTTAAAGACTAACAGATTTATTTGGGCATAAGCTTTCGTGGGTAAAAAGTGAGGTTTTTACCCACGAAAGCTTATGCCCAAATAAACCTGTTAGTCTTTAAGGTGCCCCAGACTCCTTGTTGTTTCTGACCCACAGACATTAACAGCCTCCATCTCCACTGAGAACCTGGATGACCCCCTACACCACTTTTTCCAGGGCTAGATAGAGGTGTACAGCCTCTGCTAAGAGACTCACCTGGGATTCACCAGGCAGTTTTAAAGTCTGCCCCTGAGAGCAGAGAGTTTTCTATGTGTTACTGACTCAAACGGAGTAAGCCTCTCCCCTCCAGCCTCAGAGGGCGAGGCTGCCTTCAGACCGTCAGGGAAGAACGACGCCTACATTAGCCCGTGTTTAATCAACAAATAGCCCCTGTCAGATCCCCGCACCTTGTCCCTGAGCAGCGCTGGATCCAGGGAGGGCTGCCCCCTACGGCGCGCTCGTCCCCGGCCCGTGCCCGGGAGCTGGAGAGCCCGGGCCCCCGGATGCCCAGCATCTGGCGGCACAGCCCAGGACACAGCGACCAGGGCCGCCCCCTACCCGCTCACCAGCCTGTCTCGTCCTCCTCGCAGCTGGCCAAGCGCTCCAGCTCGTCGGGCCTCAGAGGCTCCACTTCGTCCAGGAAGCTGCCCCCTTCCCCGGCCGCTGCGGCCGCCGACCCGCCTCGCGTCTCCTCGGCGGGCGGCTGACGGGCCCCGGCCCTGGGACTAAGGCAGCGGCTCTCCAGTCCCAGCGGCAACTCCCCCCGCGGGGAAGGGGTGGCGGCGCCGCTGCCGCTGGGGAGGCGCTTGGGGCTGGCGGGGGCCCCGGAGCGGCTGCGGAGCTGCTCGTTCTGCTTCTCCAGCTTCTTCACCAGCTCCTGCAGCTTCCGCACCTCCGCGTCCGCGTTCACGTTGGAGTTAATGTCCTCCATGGCGGCGGGACCCTCCGCCCGGCCGCCGGCTCGCTCACGCGCGGGGCTGGCTGCCTCAGGGGCCGGTCACGTCTCCGGGATGAGGGGAAGCAACCAGGGCCCCCCCTCTACATGGCCGGGCCTGGAGGCGCCGCCGCTGTGACTGCGCCGGGGCTGGGCCCGGACTAGAGTGGAGCCGCCGCCTCGTCAGCTGCGCCGGCGGCCCGCGGTGGGAGGGAGATACACACATCCGGCCGGCGGCGCCATCTTGCCTTGCGCCCCGCCCCCAGCCGGGCGTCACGCACGCGCCCGGCATCCGGCCGGGTTCGGGACAGAGCGTATCCAGGGGGCGGGGCTTGGGCCCAGAGCGAGGCTCGCGTCCCCGGAAGTGCAGCGTAGGCAAGGGGCTAGTGATGCAGGAGGGAGGCGGCGGCACAATGGCAGGGGCTGAGCTCACAGCGGGGCCATGGCCCGTAGCCGTCGCTCCTGCTGCCCCCGAGCGGGGCTGACAGCCGCCCGCGGAGCCTTGGGCAGTGGAGGTGGGACCCCGAGGTAGCAGCCCCCGGATCAGCTCCGGCTCCTGCCGCTGTCAGAGCCCAGGCCCGCCCGGCAGCCGATGGAGGCGCTTAAATCCCCCTGTTCCCAAGGAATGGCCGTTGTTGCTGCACCTCATTAGTGCCCCCGTCCCTTCGCTGGCACGGCTGCCTCCCTGCGCAGCGGTTCTGCCTATCCCTGTGACCCTTCTGCCGGGGGGCGGCCACAGCAGCAAGGGTCGAGGTCAAACAGCAACTGGCCCGTTTTAAAACTAACAAACGCGACGGGCTTGAGCCCCCACCCAGAATTGTTGGGATCACACAGTACTTGCCACCTTCCCCAAAGCACTGAGGTCGTATAGAAAACAAATCTTTATTAAGAGAAAAAGAAAAGTGTATTGGTGTAAATGAGTAAGTAAAATACGCACTGGAGGTAACTTTGGCAGTAGTCTGTGTAACTCAGTTCCACACCCAAGGACGGGAATGTTCCCTTTACCACACATTTTTTCCCTGTCCCCATCTGCTAAACCATACTCATCATTTGGTGTCAGTGAGTAGCATTATCCCATCATCCGAACATGCACTGTGGCATGATAGTACTCTTCCAGTGCTTTGGGAAATGCTGCCTCATCCCATCCCAAGGCGCCACTAATTAAATCATCTTTCATCTTTATTTAGGACAAAACTATCCTGCTTTGCCGACAAGAAAACCACCCCAACAAGAGGCATAGAGCATTTTGTGGCAAATTTAGATTGACAAAGTATCAATGTAGACACTCCGCTTGGTTATGTTATCGTAAATGGCTCCCAGGAGGTGTCCCACAATGCCCAACCTGACTGCTCTGGTCAGCAGTTTGAACTCTGCTGCCCTGCATCCAGGCAGACAGACATCTGCCCCTCCCTCTTTAAAGGACAGGGAATTTTTGAAATTCCACTTTCTGTTTGCTTGGTGTGGACAGCTAACATTGCATCTTTCCAGCTGACCATGGCAGCTCCACGCAGCAAAAGCTCTCCCGCCTGGAGCACACCAGAGTTGTTCAATCTGCTGGGTCTGTAGGGAGAGGAGACTGTGCAGTCCCAGCTCCACTCCAGCTGTAGGAACTTTGATACTTATGGTCAGATTTCTTATGGCATGATGGATAAGGGCTACAAACAGGATATGAATCAGTGTTGTGCGAAGATCAAGGAGCTGAGGCAGGTGTACCAGAAGGCAGAGGAGTTAAACAATTGGTCTGGTGCTGTGCCAAAGAGCTGCCGTTTCTATTAGGACCTGGACACCATCCATCCTCGGTGGCAACCCGATCCTACCTCCATCGCCAAGAGCCCCATGAATACTTCAGCAGGGCTGGAGATAGCGGCCAGTGGACTCAACCCCAAGGACGAAGTTGTGGAAGAAGAAGTAGGTTGCAGGATGAGATGGGACAGACAACTGGTTCATCTGGTACTGTGATGAGCCAGGATTTCTTCTCAATGGCAGAGGGTTCAAGCCAGTCCTAGTGCTCTGTCTGTGACGCGCATGATGCAGAAAAGGGGACCTCTGGTAAGTGAACATTTTGAGTTGATGCTGCTTGATTACATGAGGTAGAGCTGTCCTTTGCTTTGTTATATGCTAGAAGTGGGTTAAGGGATAGAAATGTACAAAGATAGGGTTACGATATTTAAAAAATAAAAGAGGACACTCCACGGGGCCCTGGCCCCGCCTCTTTCCCACCCACGGCCCCGCCCCAACTCCGCCCCTTCCCCCAAAGTCCCCACCCTAACTCCGCCCCCTCCCCTGAGCGTGCGCATTCCCCCTCCTCCCTCCCAGCCACGCGAAAAGGGCTGCCTGAGCGCTACTGGCTTAACGGTTTGCCAGGCAGCCCCCAGACCCTGCGCCCCCCGGCCGGCGCTTCCCCAGCGCAGCTGGAGCCCGGGTGGGGAAGTGCCCAGCT